CAGAACACAGACAGCATTGACAAGGTTTGCTGTGAGCCACCGATATGGGCCACTTGGCACCAGCAGAGCTAGTACAGCCTAGGTCGCTCGGCGCCGTCTGGTCTGCCTGGTCATCTTCGCTGCCGGAGGCCATCGCAAGGCAACGCTGCGCGCAACCCAACTTTCTTGGACTTTGAACAGTCACTGCAGCACAGGTGCTCCAATGAACAACATTGAATTGAATCGAGTTGTGACAAATCAGCAAACAGATGTTGGAATTTCTCGGGAAATGTCGAAACATTTGGGGAAACAATTGCCAACACTTTTCTCTACAAATGGTTTGTAGAGATTTCATATATATATATATATTCCCAGATAATGTTTCTTTATATATCTATATGATAGAAAAACTGTTCTCTACAAATCATTTGTAGAGATTTTGACGGCGATAGTTTTGGACACTTGTTGTAAAATAAAAATAGAAAATTAATAGATATGGTAATTCTAACTAAAAATATTGACTGTCATAGTCGGTACCACTGGCTCATGCCTAAGATAAAAGGTCAACCTCAACACATTCCAGTCAAAACAACTTTGCCTGACACTGATTGCTTCAGCTAGCCGAGCGCAAACCTCAAAGCAGCCGTTTTTTTTTAAATGCCTAAGCACTATTCTGATTCTCCAGAGCTGAAATCTACTGAGCGAAGCCCCCCCCATTGATAGATGCAATGATCGCTCTTGGCCTGCTGGCCAGTTCTTGTCATCCAACCCTGCCATCAGCCAACGTTTGAGACGAACCCTGCACTCTTCCTCAGGTAAGTCGCCTGTGGTCAACGCTTTTCTGCACGAGGTTCCTGGCACATCGTCGGAGTTCTGGTGCAACCCACAGATTGCACCATAACCAGTTCGCACGCCTTGGGTGTAAATGGGCGCTAGATAAAATGCACCCCAAGACTCACCTCTGCGTTGGCGATTTGCTGTGGCAGAGGTCACCTCTGCAGGATTCGAAGCGGGGCCTGGGGCAAAGGATGCTCAGATGCGCCGCTTTGTTTTGCCCTGCTGGCTGCAAAGCTGGAAGGGTCAAAGTGATCCGCCATTTCCAACCTTGAAAATGCGCTTGTTGGTTTGACCTGATCAACTTCATCATCACTATTTTGACTGTTGTCAGATCCATGTTCGGAACCAGGGTCCAACCCAAGAAGTTGCCTTTCCACTTGCAGACCTGTTGCTTTGGATCGCTTGCAAGCCAGGAGGCTCTGCGTCCATGATCACCAGGTTTTCAGACAAGACTTTTTCAACTGCTTTTGTGAGGTCTTGCAGAAACTTCCCTCGGCGGGTGCTCTTGGACACGCAAAATGAACCTGGCAATATGCCTAGATGTTTGGTTGCCCTTTCAATGACATTTCCATTTCGATGCTGGGCGCACAGGCTGGGAAATATGAAGGAGTTCTGCGGCATCACTGCATGCAAGTGTTTGAGCAGCCGTATGTTGGCTGCATGCTGGTCACACGACACCAGCACAGCAGAGAACTTTGCTGGAGACCCAATGAAACCAGGCCCAAGGGTGCCTTGGTCCAGGCACAGCGCGCCCCACATGCACTCAGCCGTTTTACGAGCTAGAGCCCTTGGCGGCCTTGCTATGTCAATCTCCACATTCTGGCCTGCAGCACAGATGCTAAGTTGGCTGTGGCTTGCCAAGACTGACCAGCTTGCAGACCCAACTTGTTTCAAAGAAACATCCAACTCTGTCTCGTCGAACATCAGGTTCACTATGTGATACAGCAGCAAACCTCTTTCACGCAGCCGGTTTATCTCTGATTGGATATGCTTGGCTTGACAATCAAGGAGGCACTTGCCAATGAACATGCGGGCTTTGATCACATGGGCAGCACTTGCCCCATCAACTTCCCTTGCTGCTTGCCTTACTGTTGCAGTAGCCTCGCCAAAGGCGGCCCTCAAAATAGCCTCAGGCGTCCACTGCTTCCAAGCGCCTCGACCTTTTGGTTTGGGCTTGGCTTCATCAGCAGGCTGCAAAGGAAGCAAATGATCTAGGGTTCTATGGCGCCCTGACGCATTGGACGCTTGAGCCTGCAGCCTGAACGTGTCTGCCCTGCGCTCTTTTCTTTTTTTCCTCAAGAAACTGACCCGGCTTCTCCTTGCATTCATCCGCCTAGCTCTTGCCCTGAAAGCATTGGCCAAGCCACGGCCGCCACGCCCCAGGCAAACACAACGCCCAAGGCGGCCACCAACTCCAACACCACGCCCAAGGCGGCCACGTCCACCAGCACCAGGTCTAAGACCGGCCCTAGCAGGCTGCTGGCCACCAAGCGCAATCCCTGCCAAATCATGTAAGCTCAGCATCGCCCCCACCCATTCAGCATGGAAGCGAAACTCTTTCGCCAATTGTGGGGGCCATCTTGAACCAAAGGATTGATGGAGGAAAGTGAACCAGATATTATCACAACATGTGAAAAGGCTAAGGATGGAGGCAGCTATCGATGTGATGCATGTTTTTTGTTGCTGTTATATAGCAGCCCCAGCCATCGATGTGATGCATGTTAAACCGACCATTACTAACTTGCATGTTCAGTATGTTCAGTATGTTCAAAAGGTTTGCTTGCGAACAAACATGTTGAACATAAGCAACAATTTCAAAAACAATTGCGCAGCAATTGTTGCTAATATTCAACAATTCCAAAGCAATTGCAAAACCATTGTTGCAAATATTCAACAAATTCAAAACAATTGCAAAACAATTGTTTGAAATATTGAACAATTGTTGAAACAATTGTTGAATATATTGAACATATGTTGAAACAATTGCTTTAAATATTCCAACAGTTGCAAAACAATTACCCAAACAATTGAACAATTGCAAAACAATTGAAAACAAATGTTCAAACAATTGCCGGTGACTATTTCGGAGCCCCTTGTAACCCTTCACCAGAGGCTTCTTAAAAACAATCAACACATATATAATCATATATATATATATAATATTACTTATCTACCACCTTCCTTGCCCCGTAGCCATCAAACATTAGTCTTTCCAATCATTGGAAGCAGAGTGGTGCACGGTCGCGCCTTCGTTTCTGCCATGTGCCACCAAACGGCCTCCCGTTTAGTTTAGCCGCTTCAAGCGCCCCAGGCAAGCCGTTGGAACATGGATGAAGTCTGCCATCAGCTGTTGCCCATGCCTTGCATTTCTTTGCCGATGATGGACGTGCTGCACTTCCTGCTGCGCAGCAGGCGCAAAACGCAGCTGTGGAGTGGCTTGGCATTTTGGTTTGGGTGGAAGTGCCGACTCTCCAGCTTGATCATGCATGGATTGTTCATAACCCTTCGGAATCTTGGATCGTGTTCATTGTTTGTATGTTCTTGGATCATGCAGCACTGGCCAGGTACGATCATTACTGTGTAGATCTATACACGCCAATACATGCTATAGGCCCCTGATTTCATCTTCAGCAACTTGGCTTAGACCACTGACACCTCATGCGTGGCGCAGATGAACGGCTTGCATGGCCCAAACGAAGCTTTGAATTGCAATCTTTTGTTTCGTCCCATCCGCTGTGCTGATGGGCTTGGCTTGGCATTTCTGGATTTGCTGTATCATCCAATCACAAGCCCAGAGATGCCCAGCGGTGGGCACCAGTATGGGCATTTGTGTGGAAGAATGTGAAACCAACCTGGATTGCGAAGCGGTAGGCAAAGCTGATCACCTTTGTTGTTCTAATGGCTGTGGGCATACCTGTATGCAGCCAGAAGGGGCACCCAAGAAGGTGATAGAGAGACCTTTTGAGCTTGTCGCAGTCTTGCGGAAGCCAGTCTTCTCAGAGGTGACCAAATCGCTGCCGCATCCAACGCTGTCCGTCTCTGAGTTGCGCTCCGTGAAAATGCTGACCGTGAAGTATGCGAGTGACCAAAGGGACGCAGCTTGCAGGGCGTTCGGCCAGCTGCAATCCCACCCCGAGGTTTCTTCGGCAGAATGGGGCTCTGTCGTTCCAAAATGTGCAGCGATTGAGCTTTGAAGACTTTGACTTCAATCGTATTCGGACTACGGTGGCCGCTCCAATGGCCAAGGCCTAGGCCGACGACTTTGGACCTTTCGACCATGTCACCCACAGAAGCGCATAGAGGCGCCCGAGCTCAAGCGGCGAAGCGGGAGCGCCGAAGCGGGCGGCCGTGGTTATCCGAGAAAAGCGCAGCAGCCGCTGTTTTCTACCAAACAGTCCTGAGAAAATATTGTGCCTTTAACGCGCTGCGCGCTCGCCAGGATATGCCAACTTGACAAGACACGAAGACTCTGCAGGGTTTTATACAAATTGTTTTCGTTGTCAATTGGCTCATGTAGATTTGGGTGGTGCCCGATGCTGATGTTTCGAGATTTAGCTTCGATGTGCCCCGTTACACACTCTGATTCATTTGGAAGTGGACAATGGCCTTGGAAGACGCCTTTCCTTTATATAAACAAGGGATTCCATGTTAGTTGGAATGTAGGGTGGATTTGGACTTGGCATGTACTGTACGCACCGTGATGTGCTTTGCACTTGGTAGGGAGCACAGCCACCCTGGCCACTCCTCCGCCTTCCATCTCTCCGCTCCACCTGAGGCTGACCACGTGGACCGCGGAGTGCGCCGAACGGAGCCGCGGAGCCACGGGCACGGTGCCGTCGCCGTCGGGGCTTGGAGAAAAGGAGCGGATGCCGCGGAGAAGAAGCTTTGTGGGATCGGGCGGGGTGCCTGGTGGCGAGCTGAAAGGAGCAAGCTTTTCAGCAAGGTGCTTGGCGTAATGGACTGCATAGAGTGGGGATAGTTAGTGTATGATGCATGATGGGCTTGCATCATTGAGGGGCCATTGTCCCACACAAAAGCCACTGAGTTGGGGCAATTCTTCTCCAACTCGAGAGTTTGAGGTGCCAAGCAGGTTGAGCCAATCTATGGTGGTCCTTTCTCGCAGCCTCCAAGAACCTAAGAGGGGTCGGGTTTCAGGTGTGGCTTTGGACGCCTTTTCTCGTGAGGCCATGGCCTTGGAGGGTCTCTTCAAGACCGATGATTGCATTGGACATCCCCACGCGCCTTGGAGGACTCTCGGAGATGAGGAGCTGTTACAGCGGATCAGCGGCTCTTCAGGGGTGGGAAAGACATCGACTAAACGGCATATCTCACTCAACCTCAGTCAATCTCACTTTTCCTGACATCAACAACAGTCCCTTTCCGTTTTTTGAATGTTGTTTTTCGTCATGTTTTGACATTTTCACATTCGGATACCTTTGCATCTTACGCCTTGAAGTCAATGTCTCTCGATCAAGTCGATGTATCAACAATATGTGCGCAGGGAATGTATGCCCCCAAAGTTAGTCAGCCCATGCTTTGCACTTATGTGACCATTTAACTCCAATCGATCGGGAAAGCATCGATTGGAAATGATTGGAGCATTCGCCCTATCAAAACATTTGGGACTCAAGTACCGCTCAAGGGGTGTAATTCGGGCCTTGAGCCGCCTGAGAAACGAGTCTTTGTCAGTCGCCTTCTTTAAAACCTGGAGGTGTTGGGACTTCCCTATAGTCATTTGAGCCAAACTGGTGCACGTTGGTATGACATTGATAGAATTCATTGCTGTGCCTAGGGGCCTAGCAGGGCCTAGCATTGATGATGAGTAGTTTGATTGAGTTTGCCATGCTGGTGAAACAGGCTGTGCCATGGAAACTTCCAGCCTACTCATTGACTTTCCTTGGCCTGCATTGACTTTTCTTCAGTGGCGCTGTGCCATGCACTTGCCCTTACTGCGCTAGTACAGTACACGCACAAAATAATATATATATATACATAAATTAATATACATCGGCTAGTATCGTTTTGGCGTGCAGCTTTTTTGGGGTGCCCCATTGCCAACATAAACCATGAACCTCCGTTGGGCCCGCCGCGGCGAGCCGGGGAGCGGTGAAGCCCGCTCCAGGTGCTGCCTTACCTGGAGCAGCTGTTCGAGTGCGGCCACTTAGGAAGAAGCAACCAGACCAAAACAGATGGGTTTTGTGTTTTTGCAGAAGGTAGAGACATAGACCAGGACTATGATATAAACATGTGGTATTGACCGAAGAAACGACCACAACGCCTATCAAAGCCTACATGCCAGAGTTCGCAGACCTCCAAACACACATCACATGGAATTGGACAATGGCCCCTGAGAAGAGTACAGTAGTTCCTCTTGCGAACAGAGGCTTCCCACTTCCATGTTATGGTAGCGAGCCGGGGTGTATATAAGTTGATAGACATCTCAAAAGTAGTCACAAGTCAAAACTGTAGTTGCCCTTAATCAGTTGACGTGGTGTGAGTTGAGTTGGAAAACGCAAGGCTGAACCTGAGTGACCTCAACTTTGGGCCGCAATCACCCCAAAGATGCTCTGGTTCCTATTAAGACACAGGTCCAAGGGGATACTCACGGATATTCTAAAGTTCCAAAAGGTTGGCGTTGGACGCTGTATACTTCTTGGCTCGAGCTTGATTGACATTGACATAGCCAACCCATTAGCACTCCCAATGCAACGATCGCCCACAAACTCGGCGGACATGCCACACAAACTCGATGTTAAAAGTGGACATCTTTGAGACTAATAGTTAGGGTGTTAATGGGTGCTCTTGGGGTGTTAGAGACCCCGGAAGATAGCAACCTTCACTAAACGCTTGCAGTGGCTTACAGCTAAGGATAGCTAAGGAGTGGTTTGCGGGGTGCCTATTGAGAGGAGCTGCTGGACTAAACCAACAAGCTCACATGGGCTCACACGTTTCCTTGCTGTTTTCTTGAAAGGAAACTGCTCCAAGTAGGGGATCATCCACGAATCGTTGAAACCGAAGTCATTTCCCCAAACATCCAGTCCGGCAGACTCACGAACACATGCTACATGTGTCACATGCGTCACATGACCGGTCCTTTTTCCACACTCTTTGGGTGATTGAAGATGTGGGTGTCCAAAGAAGAAGGCTTTCCAAAACCCGTCGGCCCCCTCGGCCAGAAAACATCTCAACCAAAAGCCACTGGGGTTTGGGGGGTTTGGGGGCGCCTTGCATTCCAATCCAAATGAATCATGAAAGGCGCCACCAATTCGTTCCCGGTGTGCTTGGGCGGTTCTCCACGCATCGCCCCAGGCGCGACATCGCCCACTGCTGTGCTGAGCTGAAGCTCCTGCGCCTAGCGGTGACGCAGCTCGGCTGCGGAGCGGTGGGTTTCTCTGGGTGAGGAAGTCGAGTGTCAGTTAGGGTAGGAGCCAGTAAGAGCTGCTTTTGTTTTCAGGTCATAGAACAATATTTAATATTTATTTCATATATATAAATATATATATATTATCTGATATACAATTTATAGAGTCAGGCTTGTCACATAACATAAGTCATGTGGCATGCCGGACAAATGCCCCCACTAATATGTGGAAGGGCTGAGGTGCGGGAAGAGGTGCGCGAGTTGCTGTTGGGTAGCAGCGTTTTCGTGTGGGTGTTTTTTTTTCTCCAAGGCTCTCTCTCTCTCTCTCTCTCAGTCTCTCAGGGGGCCTATGAACAGTTGTTGGAGCTCGATTTTGGAATGCTTTGGAGCACAGAATCCCCGAGTTTTTGCAGGTTTTAGAAGGGGGAAGGTCACTGTGCTCAAGAGGATGACAGGCATGTTGAGCGGGAGGAACATTACTCGCGTCAATGATTGAACTTGTGAACTTGTGGGTTTGACGGGAGCTGATGGGGAGCTGTTGCTGAATAAAGTTGATGTTTGCGATCCAGTGATTAAAGTCTGGTTGGGTGGAGTTGTTTGTTTAATTTTGTGCCCTTTGTCCAGTACTCTCAGGCAGGGCCGGCCTGCATTCAAGATCCTCATTGGAAGGAGACCGGTCTTTGTACTTTCTCACACCGTGTTGCTCTCACACCTGTTTGGTCCTTAAACTAATTAATTACTCCCCCTGGAACTAACATGGAAGTGGAAAACCCTGTATTGTAGAGGAACATGGTCTTCCAAGAGGCCATGACATCCACTTCGATGTTAGCTCCAGGGAGTGTAGCTATGCTCCTTGTTTGCTCAGCAGACCGGCCCATGCTCAGAGCCAGACTGCCGGGACAGCTCACTGAGCACCTTGGGGTCCACAGACTCGGGCTCAACCACGGCACCACCTGGGCACCACCCCCTCCACCGGGTGTCAACAGGTTTCGTGACGGTGGTGACTGGAACATCGCATCGTCAGGGGCAAAGGGTCAAACAAACACCACCCACACGTGTGGGTGCACCAGACAGATTTAATTATAATTAGAATATATTAGAATGATTTAGATGATCGTAGATGATCATCCCTGGACCGAGAGACGAGCACTGCCCTTCGACGCCGAGGCCCGTGTTTTCCGAGCCCGGTGGCCCAACTCGGCGCCGAGCGCTGCTACGCCGCTACGCGAAAAGGAGGCATCTCCAAATTTGAGTCACACCAGAAGGGCTACCATCGTGATGCCACAGTGATCATATGCGAGTATGAATCAGTAAACATTGCGAACGTTGTATAATATATATATATACACACTGTATATACATACGTATATAATCGTGTATATATATATATATATTTGTTCCGCACAGTCGACACGATGAGTGACTTGACTATGTAGCTTAGTCCAGACCATCTAATCTACTACCCGGAAGCTTAAGCCGACCTTAGAGACCACGGTGTGCTGAAAGCCCAGACCCTTCACATTTGGCGAGGTGGATGAGTCGGATTCAACATCCACACTTTGGGCTAGAGTGCTCGGCCCTGGAACCTGCGGGCCGCGGCCACGAGGGTGAAGCACCGTGGACGGGTGGAATGGGTGGAATGGGATGTGAAGCTGGAGTGCTGGACAGGCGGATGTGGTTGGAATGAGTTGGAATGGCTCTTGAGGGTGCTGGTCATTGCATCAAGGAAATAAGTTAGATAGTAGTGTAATTTTGAAATTTCTCTATACCAGAAGTTTGGCTGTTGAGCAGACGGCATTCAACTAGGATACCTAATGCAGCTGGGAAGAGGTTGCAGCAGCCCAGGTGCTTTTTCGTATGCCAAAACGCCTCTCAAAAGCCGGTGAGCTCAGCCAGCTTCGTGCGGATTACCGGTTGAGCAAAGCTTTCTGGGAGATATCGTTGACAGGACTTTTTAACAGGCCAGGCCTAAGGAGGTCAAGCTGCGTTTGCTTTTATGTGACAAGTCAAGTGAGAAAGTAGGGTAAATCAGGAGTAGTGCAGAATACTTTATAATTTTCCTTTAATATATACTTCAAATGTATTTAAGTGTTTTTCAATGTAAAGCTTAGCAGCTTAGCAGCTAGCCTTTGCTTGGTCTTATTGGGCAAAAATCAAACTTTGCCACCCCAACTGGCGATCCCGAAACCGTGTGGAGTCTTTGACTTTTTAGTAGTGGGATGCCCGAAAATTCCTCCCCATCGGTTGCAGAACGGAACTTGCATAGGCTTCTCCCCATTCTTGCATCTCAGCCTCTCGTGTTGACTGTCACTGAGTGGATGTGCTGAGGATGGGCATCCGACTCTTGCCCAGCATTCGCGCCGCACTCGCAGCCGGAGAGGCGCTTTGAGAAAGGGCTCCGACAGTGGAACTCCATTTGCATGCATACACGTAGAATGACACCTATGCGGCGCGGCCTATCCGCATAATTGCACATATACATGCATATATATATATTTTTCTCTCTCCCTCTCTCCCTCTCTATTGTATGTAAGTAGGCATGTATACAAAAAACGTATATATATATTATATTATATATATATATACATATGTATATATTATTATACACTTAATACAACACATGTTGCCTTTGCGCACAAGATGCGCACACTAGATGTACATCCTCATAAGTGCCATGAGATCACAGGTTCACGGGGGATCTTTAATCGAGTCTTACAAGGCTGCCGGACTCTTTCCTTCATGCCAGGCACCCTCCGACTTCATGATTTTCGCGCTTGCAGCAGGTAGCTGAGAGTCCCTCTTTTCGAGTCTCTCCGGTTTTCGGCTCCAAGCTGCTGGCACCGGACTGAGGTGATTCTGCGTTTTTTGACGCCCATCGGTGCAGCTCGGACGCAGTGAGGTAGTGATGTGAAGGGTCACAGGGTCATAAGATCATTGACTTCTGCTGAGTGCATGCGTGTGGGCGTGAGGGTTGAGGTTAGTTAGCCAAGGATGGACACGTAACTGAGAACCACAGCTACAACAAAAACAGGATCCACTGTGACCGTCCCAGGATCAACCCCGTGTGGGCGAGACACCCCCCGTCTTCGTGCGGGCGCCTGATGTGCCGACCAATGTCCGAGCTCGCAAGTTTGTCCGATGCAGCTTGAGATGTCAGAGAGAGAGAGAGAGACAGAGATGGGGGCAGACCAGGCAGACCGAAAACCATTATATAACAACGTTTGATCAGATCATAGAAGTGCATCAAATAGCCCCGCCGGAGAAGAAAACTAAGGTCCCACTTCAAGTGGTCCCACTGCCGTCCTGCCAACGTTTGAGCCGAGTCTTCAGGTGGGACGGTTGGATTCCAGCCAAAGCACCGAGGCGGGCGGATTGAAAACGGCGGGACCTCGCTGTGGGGGGGGGGGCTGAAGGTGGTGAAGCGCCCAGCAGGGCAAATAGAAATTCACCGAAAACCGGAGATTATAATGTATATAACTGGTCTTTTGGTCATTTTGTGCTTTATTCCATGTTTAATCCAGGGTCTTGGTCGATGTGATTCAAGGAGGTTCTTGGTCAATGTGTTTGGAAGGCAGGTGCTTATTTAAGGGGCTTGGATTTTTCCAATGATTTGGCAGCATGTGAATGAATGCGAGGGAGGAGAACATTCTCCACCAACCTCAAGGCTAAGCCACCCACTGACTCTCCATGGATCCACAGGAATTCAGCTACGTCTCGGAGCTGAACGTGCGCACCAGCGCGGGCGCTTGGACCAGATCGCTGCACACGGAGTGAGTGACAGTCGTGAAGGCCGATAGAGTCAGGGTCTTGGGTTTCATTGCTAATAGGAGCAAGGACGCTACTAGGGGCTCCTGGCCTTACTACTACGCTAGTAGGACTTGGGTTTCAGATGGGTTTCAGTATGCAGATGGGCTGAGAGACACCCCAATACCACATTGCGAGCTTCGCACTGAGAGTTGTTTTTCAACCTCACTGGTGTCACGCACTTCGGGTGGCCATGGGGACTTAGCGTGTATATGACTCTATATAACCATATATAACCCCTTCCCCGACCGGTGGTGCGGAATTTCTATGTTCTTTTTGCCTGCGTTCACCCTGGACATGGATCGCCAACAATGATACAAAAAAATCAAAAAAGATAAAGTCAGATACCGGAAACAAAGGCATGCTGTTTCTTCAGTGTTGACGAAGAACCGCATGGTCGTGTTTCTGCCCAGTGGCTGATGGCCCACATGCTGACTGCCGACGGTTGGCTGCTGCAATCGTTGAGAGGTTTGGCGCCTTTGTGCAGGGATCAAGCCTGGACTCAAACTGAACAAGTGAGAACTTGACCTACAATCTCTTACAATCACATTTGCAACCACGAGCCGGCTACAGGCCACCCCCTCAGTGAGTTACTGTAGTAAGTTGAGCTCCTTGCTGCTCAGGGGGCTGACAGTTGAGGGGACATCCATATATTCAATCTTCCATCATCTTCCCCTTTCAAACACGGAAGCGTTTGTTCGAGCTACAGGCAGTTCGATCACTTGCTTCGATGTTTATCCTTTGCCCGTGAACGAGCCGTGGTGTTGTGAACGTTGGACGTTCCATCATCGCCGCGTCTTGAGACGCGGCAGCCACCGTCGTCGGATGGAAGATCACCGCCCCGTCGTCGTAGAGACGGGCAGCGCGATGACCAAAGCAGGCTTTGCGGGCGATGAGGCGCGCTGCTCCGCACAGCGCCGAGAGACATGTTCTTCCCAGCGTTTGCGGAAAAGGTGCGGAAATGAGGGAATGATGAATGGATCCTAAGTCCTACTAAGATCTACTAAGTCCTCAGGTACTTCTAGTCAGGGGGGGTCATTCTCTCATTGAGCCTCATGATTCACCCGGGTGTTTCACCGTCTGGTCGGTGTGATCGATGGGGTCGTTGGACGATCGGCGGGGTTTCAACCGTGCGATTCCCGGTCGCACGTGGTGGAATGCCATGGGTAGCGCGACAGGCAAGGCTACTGCCAGATCAGGCAGTGGAACGGTATGCAAGAAATGGCTACTGAGCTACTGTGACTGTAACTGTCAGTTTTCAATCATGTTTTTCAGGACAGGCGGCGCTGGTGGAAGAGGTGTCCAACCCTGAAACAGCAGAGGGTGAGGTTCTAGTGACTTGCTTTGCGACCCAAATAAGGGCCAGTTTTGTTTAAAAAGATTCTTTGCATCGCAAGGTCAGGTGAGGTCAGGTGCACCTTTAGAATTCCCCCCTTTGCCAGTCGGTGGATTCCACTTTGTTCGCTCAATTCAGGGGAGGCCTTTTCCACCTGAAAGCATGGGGATGGATGCTTTGCGATCCCTTCGATCGAGGTGCCCGACATCGTGTTCCCCTCGGTGGTTGGCGTGCCGCGGCATCCGCAGATTGCCCTGTTGATGGGCCAGAATCCCCAAGCGGCCTATGTCGGAGAGGACCGGGATGGCCCGAGAGGAAAGGTGACGAGAGTCGTCACCTCGTGGAGAGCATCGCAGGGAACCTTTGTTGGATGCACACTGCAACTGAAGCAGAGCAGAGCGTTGCGTTCGTGTGCACAAGCTGTTGCTGATTCCAGATCCAATCCTTGTTGCCGAAAGCATTGCATAATATTGTATACAATGCATCTACTGGCTCTCGAATACTTTCCGTGTACACCATCTACTGCCATCTCCCTTTGTTCCCTGTTTCCACCCATCTCACCCAGCCGCTCACCGTCGCTTCCGGTCACCAGGAGGCGAACCGTCGACGTGGTGTCTTGCGGCGACGCGTGCCCATCGAGCGTGGCTTGGTGGTGCACTGGGAGGAGGTCGAACAGATTTGGCACCACGTCTTCTTCAACGAGCTCCGCATCGCCCTTGAGGAGACGGGGACCACCCGGGTTGTCCGGAGTCCAGTGGGATCGGGGTCGACACAGATCCGTGTGGCTGATCCGTGTGGAATTGTCCTGTATACACAAAGATACTAAGGGATGCCTTGGGATTTGAGGGGTCATTTTGTTCTTTGTGGGAGGATGTCACTGTGGATTGCACACCCTTTTTGTGCATATACTTATAGTCGTTGTATTGCATTATTATATAAATGCAAGTAACTAGTAACAAACACGTTTGCCACGTTTGCTCTAAAAAGGTGTTTTTGGTATGTAGAGTGGTATGTAGCTAGCATGGAGCCCTTTTTGTAAGAGTCCGGCAGGCTGTGGAAGTGCACTTTTTCACCAATTGTTGAGCTGTACTAAGTTATCTACTAAGTTATTTGACATGTTTGCCTTCATCACAAGTATTTCCCCAAGTATACTCATATATACTCATTGAATATTAATACAAATATTTCTTTAAATAGGTATCCCAAGAATTCCTAAAATAACATAATATTACAAATTAATATATCTTTAAGTATAAATTCATTGAATATATATACACTTAAAGAGTAGTTAATGTATAAAATATTAGTGTTATATTATGACAAAATATAGATTATTTGCTTAAAACTGATAAAGCAGAAATACCAAAAATGATAACACAGAACTAAAGTCAATAGTTATTGACAATAAACAATTCAGATATAACACAAACAACGATATCTCAAACAGATTGAAACATAAATTGAAATCAGTGAAGAAAACCAATGAATATAGAAGTTACGACCATAAGATAATCTCATTGGCTGTAGGCATGAAGAAAGCCCTAACCACATATGCTATCAAAAATAAGTTCAGAGTAGAAAAGGTAAATCAGCTTTTAACAGATATGCAAATAATCTTAAGCTCATAAACAAGCACTTTAAAGGAGAACAAGGCTTATCAATGATACAACATCAACAATCCTTATGTACTTGTAGAATTTCTTTAAAAAAGCATAATATGAAACTCAACATAAGATCGGAAGCATGGTTTAGTAAGCCTAATGTTAATGATGGTGAAGATGTTGATGGTGATATAGGTGAGTCTGGGATTCATCATAATTTACCATCAACAAGATTCAACATTCATAATGAAGATGACTTGAATAAAGCTTTAGATCAGATAGTGTAAAAGAAATACTACTTCAAATAGAACAGATTGAGGCTTCAAGGTCAAATCTAACATTTAAAAGGTAGTTTCTATAACCATCCATTATGATAGATATAATCCAACTCGGGCAGGTATAGGTATGTATATAGAGTCACCTAATTTTGTTATATAAGTTAAAACAGGCTTGTATCAATATAAACAATAATTATAACAAGTCTAAGGTATTGTATTCAATCAGTAGTTTTGATAAGATTAATAATAAACATCACCAAGAAGAAATGTGTCATTATAACAAATTGAAGGATGACATCATCAATAGGGAAGGTGTCAATTTTCCAGCAGGTAATAGAGATATTGATAGGCTTGAAGTGAATGATGATGGTTTAATTTCAGTAAATGGTCTTGAAACAAATGCTATTGTTAATGAAGAAAAACATAACCAAAACAAGAGCAACCAACGTGTCAAATGCTAAATATCATATTGACTTATTGAGAGTTTTTGATGATAAAGATAGATACCATGATGCTTTAATAAGAAGTTTGAGTAGGTTATTAAATTGTCAGTTGAATACAGATAACAATAAAACACATATCTGTAGGTATTGTTCTCATCCCGTTTTCAAAAAAAGTGCTTGGAAGAGCATTATGAAAGGGGTTGTTTAGCAATTGCGGTGCAACAATTCAAACTACCCCCTGAAGGTTCTTTTATTGAATTTGAACAGTATAATACCAACTTTGAATATATTTCTTTTTGGTGTAATGGATATGTTGAATGTCTGACTGTGACTTCTTCTGATAGGATTAAGGGCACATATCAAGAGCATAAACCTTGCGGTTATATGTGAATGTGGTGAATAGAAGTGGCAAAACATCCACACCTTATTGTATGGACAAATTTATAGAACGGTTGGGTACTATCAAATCTGATATCATTGAAAAATAAAACTCAATAAACTAATGATTATTACAGTAGTGAATAAGACGAATTAGAATTCAGAAATGCTATAAGGTGCTCTACTTGTAACAAAAAAACGATGAATGTGATGAACAAGTTAGAGATGCCAAAACACAAAATAACAGAAACAAAACTAACCAACTCTTCAGAAGTCTTGTCTTGGGGTAGGCGTCCAAAAACAAAAAAAACAATCCTGAGAGACTCTTTGGTGAGTAAACCCTAAAAACAAAAAAAACAATTGCTGGGAGGTCTTGGGCTGGGGGGGTGGTGTCCAAAGACTCTGTCAGGATGTTTTTTTTGTTTTTTTGATTATTGTGTTTTCTGTTTACTCACCAAAGAGTCTCCCAGGATTGTTTTGTTTTTTGTGGTTCAAGGCCTATGCATTTTTTCAGAGTACAGCAGTTGAGATGTCCTTGGCACTACTGGTGCTGTGAATTAGTCTCAGTAGATCCTTGAACTTTACTAACAATGCACCTCCAGATCACTCAAAATTGGTGACAAAGTGCACTTCCAGGGCCTGCCGTTCTGTTTTGTAATGGGGAGATTGTTTGGATTAGAGAGGGGTCGGGATCCCATGCATAGTTGCATTGGGGTGTGGATATTTAGCTCGGGATTCAATTTCAATGATTGATAGGGAATGTTGCTTTTGTTGCCTAGGCCCAGATAGATTGCCCCCCGCAGCCCAGCTGGCAGCTACACTCAGCAAGAAGAGCTTGATGACCAAAAAAAATCAAACAAATCAGGCAGATGGATTACATGATGGATTCAGGGAAT